TGACAAGAGACTGCCACTCAAGCAAGTTTTTAAAGATTCTTACCCTGTTGATAATTATTACCACTCAAAATTTGCTGTCACTTGGATAACATTACATAGTCATGCAACAATCTTTCTGTGGTTTTTCTCAACACAAATCAGTTAGTATGAGTTGTTTTTGGATTAGAAAGCTAAAAAGATATTTCGTTCTTGGAAATGGGTTTAGTTGAGGCCTATCAAACAACTATTAAACCATACACATTTAACTCAGTTTTGAGGGGAAAGCTTGGGGTATTAACAATTTGCAGGAAAAATGTTCAGAGGAACAACAATGTGATATAAGACTCTTTAAAAAAATAGCGTGGAATACAAGTCCTATACAGCAGTGATAAAGTGCTGGACTGATAATCCAATCAATCAACATTTTCATTCAAACATAGGGAACAGCCATCACTATTATATTTATGCCAAAAAAATCCAACAGTTGCTATGAAACTTTTGTGCAGGAAGTGGTGCTATCATAGACATGTAAACAGCTTCAAATATGTGCTTGGTCACTGGTGTTTACATAAAAAGTGGTTTTTGAGGATTCAAAGTCTGAAAGTATAAAGAATGTTAGTTTGACTTTTCTTCAATTGAATAAATGTTTAATGAGATAGTTCAAATTTGTGACCTAACAAAGTGCAAGGGAAGTTTGAAGTCAAAACCAAAGAAAAATTCACGCCAAAGGAAGGTGGGATTTTTTAGCAATTACTATATCACTAATTATTTTTGTGGTGTCAGGCTGATTTCTCTTTGAATGATATTTCATGTCCATGCAGCTTGTGTGACAGGCTGAATTACTGCTCTTGTCAGTCTGAGTGTCAGGCTAATGTCTGGCTCTTGTCAGACTAGTTTCCTGTTGTGCACAATTTTTTTGTTTGGCTCTAATGCCCGGTTGATTACTGCTTGTTTTCTGTTACTGTCAGGTTCTTGTCAGGCTCTTTACTGCTCTGTCCAGTTTGGCTCTTGTCCAGTTGATGTTAGGCCCACGTCTGGTTCAAATGTCTGGCTGTGTTTAGGCCCTTGTCCGGCCAGACATTTCCTCATGGGCATAATCTTGTGACAATATATTTTCAATGTTCAGTAACCCACTAGTCATCATCAACTATGTGTCTGGCTCTAATGTTTCTTTATGATTTATAAATATGTTTATGTACCCACTCCTCTTATTTTGGATAAGAGGAGTGGGTATATACCAAATACCACACCATGTACAAAAGGGAAAAGTATTGAAAACATGCTGCTAACATTTTCATTAAAATTAAGCCATAAAAAAGTCCATTGACAAAATTAAGAATTTGTTAACTGGTGACTTCAGAATGTTCCTGATGCTATCATGAAAAGTGCCGGTAGTCAACCAACTTAGGCAATCTACCATGGGGCAACATAACCACACACTAGGATGACATGACTATAACACTTGGGGGCATGGTAAACACGACTTGAGGGAGATGTGTCTGGGACGATGTGGGAAGGAGGCAATCTGAACTGCATTCCTTTTTGCATTACAGAAGCAGAAAAGTGCAAGACCTTACAAAAGGGGTCCTCGTTCAAGTGAAACACAGAAGTCTTTGATTTGACTTTAACAGAAGGTATGCTTTACTAGAGCCTTCTATGTGTAGTTCCAATCTTTTCTTTAAGTAAACCAGAAACCTACAGCAACAAAAGACTGTACAAACTTATCAGAATTAACTCACTCTTTTGTTGTTCAAAATGAAGGTTGAAATGTCATTACAATTAGTTTTGAGTTTTTCAGGTTATGGTTTTAGAATAAGCTTGAAATACTTGTGTACAAGATCCACAAAGCAACAACTGTACACACATCTCACTACAGAATTATTTACATAATGTAGCCAGTATTTGCTACGCTCAGCTTTACAGTGCTCGTTTTGTGTGCTAAAATATTGAATTTTTTTTTCTTAACAGAATAAACCAGGCTGACAAGGGTCACTGCTGTGATTGAGCTCATCATACTGAAAGTGGACTTGGACCAAGAAGTATTTTTACACAGGTCAGTCGGATTTTCTATTGGCAATTTTTATAACACCTAGCAAGAACATGCATTTAACTTCTATGTTTACCATAATTGTAAACAAAGACTTTCATTGTATTATAATGATGTGATTGCATCAATTTGTGAATATTTTTTGGGGATGCTATTGAGACCAATCACAATGATGCAGATGATGATGATTGCATGATGTTATAAAAAACTTTAAGCTCAGAGTACTGACTGTGGAGCTAGACATTCTAGTGAAAAATTGTCAAGATGCCCAAATTTTAGCAAGCTCCTTTAAGGTGATTCCTTTGAAAAAAAAAGGTCATCAAACAAATTTTTTTAAATTTAATTCATTTAAATGTTCCCTACCTGATTTCTGTTTCAAAAAATACAATAAACAAGATAGGTTGCTGTGCCTGTCTGGGAGATATAATGGGCCAAACTTACTCCACTTATGCCTATACTGGCACTTATTACATGCGTCATTTTATTGTTAAGGTACATTTTGCTGCAGTTAATGGAGGCAAAAGCTTTTAAAGTAACACTTGGAAAAAAACTTGATTGGTAGAAGGTCTCAAGCATATGAAACAATTTGGATATTTAATTTGTGGGAAAATCATGCAAATTTAATTAACTTTGACTTGAAACATTTCTTGAGTCAATCCTTTCAAGGTCACAATTTGAACCCTTGAGTAACACTGGCTTTGTGTATGCTTTTAGCTTTATCTTATTTTCCCTTCAAAGAATTTTTTTTGAATTTCCCCAAAATAAAGGGGATAAATTGTGCACCAAAATTAAAAAAAAAAAAAAAATGTAGGTCACCGTGCTCATTTAGAACTAAAGACCATCGTGCCTCAGTCTTTAGGTAGTCCATGGATTGATAAACAATCATTCCCCTCATTACATGATTTTTATGTGCAACACAGGATGTGCACTGCAAAACTGAGGAATCACGTTAATATGACATCTTAGGGATTAACAGGCATGTTAATCAGTCTTTACCTGGTCCATGGATTGTTAAACAATATTGTGTTCTTGAAATGCGTGCATGGTCATTCCCCACATTACATGATTTTAATGCGTAATACAGGATGTGCCCTGCAAAACTGAGGAATCACATTGGCATCTTAGTGATTAACAGTAATGTTTTTCTGTGGTGAATGGTTTGAAATTTAAAATAATTTTTATTATTTCCAGCAGATTTTAAGAGGGCAGGATTATCAGTTCCTAAATATGGA